TTTGAACACCATGATTGTGGAGATGTGGATGCTCTTATACATGTGAAGACATATGTAAATTATATTCAATCATCTGTCTGCTAGCCAATGCCCTCTACTTGCAGGCTGTCAAAATACGTTGTTGGTGATCAGCTTAGCTCTGACCTAAACCAAGCCCTTAGCTGAGCCACAAGGAACAAGCAGGTAAGAAGACAGAAGCTGATCTGGACAAGATTTCACAAGAAATCAGACTGAAAGAAGGCAACAAGCCACTCCTTGACCTGGGTGAGAGGATCTAAACAAATTATTAAGCTCTGGCTAGGGCTAGGTCAGGGATTCATGAGCAAAGACAAGACAAAAACCACAGAAACCAAAAAAAAAAAACTCATACCAGAAAACAATATCAAATAGGGAGTCATTATCAGGCATTAGTCTTTGAGACTGTGAAAAGAAATTCAAAAAAAAAAAAAAAAAAAAAAAAAAAAAAAAAAAAAGACATGATGTTCAAATCTTCAATAACCACATAAAAGAGCTGTAGACATTTTTTTTTCCTGTACATTTAGGTCTGTAAAAATTGGCCAAACCAATGGGAAAAAAGAGAATATGTTATCTTGACCCTAGCATGCAATTGTTTCTTGCAGTACAAGCTGGTTTGATCTTGAACCACTTTTTTTTTCTTCACTTTGGCTTAGCCAATGTCTATGGACCTAGCTGTATCTGAAATTAGGTTAGCTTGTACACCAAATGTTCCAATGTCTTGGTGCTCATTTGAATTTGATCTTGAAAACCATGCCTAAAAGGAATATCAGTTCCAAAGGTGGGGGGATAAAAGTAGAACAGGAGTCACTTGTAAAACAAAAAAACTCACTGATGATCTTTGATAGTTACACATACCTTCAAAATATCCATTTGACAGTTTGAAAAATTTTGCGGGTTTGGCAAGCTCCAGGAGTTAGGAGAATTTAAAGGTATAAAATGGAACCTGGTATGGGTACCACTTCCCAAGACTACATCAGAAGAATACAAGCAAGGAATTGGATGCAGAATGCTCCACCAGATCTATGGAGGGTTCTATGAAGGAGGATGATCAAGTCATACAAGAGCTTCCAATCAGCTACCTCAAGAGTAACTTGGCACTTCTGCAAACAAAATATTGATAATC